AAGGTACTAAATTCATCAAAATTGCTATAGTCTGACAGCTAAGAGCACAGAAGATTAAGATTTATAAACAGAAACCCTAAGTATATTAAAATCTGACCTTTTCAGAAGATACCATAATATCTTTTTCAACCACATTATAAAAGCAGTTTACATTTTGCTTTAGGCTAACCCTCTTTAGAGTAAAGCATATGGGTTGATCAGGTAAGCTCTAGGTAGGTTAACATAAATAAAAAGACCAAGAAAAACAATTACTCTGAAAAGAAATATGCTTCAGTGGACAATTCAAGCCCCACCTCAAACCTGGCAATAAAAGACAACATAAAACAAAATGGAAAGAAATATACCTGGGCTAGATAAAACATTTAACTAATCATGAATGTCTCATTAATTTAACTTATTTTACCTACCAAATGACAATGTCCTCTAACTATATTTAATACTGCAACAATTCAATTAAAAAAGAAAGGGGGTGCCGTTTTGTGCCTTTCCCAGGAAAGTTAATATCCAAAAGGTTGTCATTATAGACAGTTTTCCTACAACCAAGTCCCACAGCACAAAGTTACCACAGAGCTCCAATGTACTATGATGCCCCGGTTTCATTTACTATATTCTCTAAATACAAAGTTCCAAAAAGATTAGTTTCATTTTTCCCTAGATAGATTTAGTATGTTAACTAGCATAGTTGGGATATTATTTTTCTTTGGTTTTGTCAGTAGCATGTTTGATATAAATTTTATTAAGTGGTAGTATATGTAACATTGCATTGTGGGTAGTAGTTTCCTGCTTTAGCCTAGCCACATCCTCAGCTGTCATATGAGCATGTTTCCCATATTTTCTACAAGTTCTCGCCTTTTTTTTTCTTCTTAGAAAAATGACAGCATTAGAAGATGAATTGTTCTAATAATTATAAGAAACATGAGTTATTTATACAGCTACATTACACAAGTATGGATCACTCTGCACTTTGAAGAACAGTCAAAGGTGGAAAAACAAATCCTCATAATTAAAGTGCCAATGTCATGTGAAACAATATGTTAAAGTAAATTAACATAGAGGAAGGAATTAAAAACTGTTAAAAAGGAAGAAAATCACTGTAATCAGATGCCAATACCATCTAACAAATGAGGTGTACATATAACAGTGTAGACATAACTATGATTCGCCTTGAAATCTTAGGTGCCTCAAACCTGCCAGGTATTCATTAGTGAGAATTAATGTCAATATCTACTACTAGAACCTTAAGAATTTACTTGGAGACACTATAGAATTATCAAAACAGTGATAAAGAAACTGAAAAAGCCTGGAGGGAGAGAGGGAGGAAAAGAGGGAAGAAAAAAAGGGGAAAAGAGAGGGGGAGTACGAGGGAGATAGAAAAGTTTAGTATTTTCTCTTTTGGCATTTCATTTCCACATAATCTCACATATAGATAGATAGCTGCTAATACTAACCAAATGAACTTGTTCAAACAATCATGGACATGGTGGTGCTTTGGGTTTTTACATAATTTAACTAAAACAAATTGAGGAGGAAAAAGAATACTCATTATAAAAAGTAACACAAAATAATACCCTGAACACATGATCACAGAAATATGCATGCAGTTGTGTACACAGACATAATACCCCATTAAAATAAGAAAGTAAAATTAATATCTCATAATCATCATAATTTAAAATACTAATAATGTATTTAACTAATATAAAAACTTTTCAAATCCTCAATATAAGGCCCAGTAAATGCTATATCAGTTTAAATAGCTATACATCAAATCCAAAAAAAAGTCAAAAAATAAATTATCATATACCAAGCTAAAACAATAAATTAAGAAAGTGTCTTCCTAAAAACCTCATTATCAGTGAGAAAAATTTAAGCCAAATTAGAATGTCTACAATTAATAAAAAACCTACATCAAATCACTTGGCCTTGTTGTTTTCAATTAAGAGGAAAATAGAACAGCACCAAATAGAAGTTAAAATAAAAAAAACACACATAGAAATAAGCACAATATTGACACTGATAAAACTATTGAATCTAAATAGGATCATTAGTTCAAAAAATAAAAAAAATAATTCAAAGGTAACAATGAATTTATGTAACATTTAAAAAACTATTATACTGTTATATAGTCTAACAGCATACAATATAAAAAGTTTGACCAATGTTGACAAATTTAGTAAATACAAGGTAATGGGGGGAGCAAGATAACTAATGTCTTTACTTATTGAAATTGATTTCAAGTTCAAAGGAGTATTTCACATCTATGGCAATAAAGTACATAATTTACACAACAGACCTAAATTTGTTACTTACGTCAACACAGAAAATACTAACATAATCCCCAAAAATGAAGTTTTGAGGGTCTTTGAAAAACAACAACCAAAAAACCCTGTGGTTTCCATTTTTCATTTTAAGCATCGTATAAATCCATAATCAAGAGCTTTATTTGCAGTGACTTTTCTGAGTCAATCTCTCTTTATTACATGTGGTAAGTTACTTCTAATTAAACAAACTCTCAATTATCACATATGTACCTTGATCACTTGTTTTTTAATTTTTATCACAAAGTAATATTTGCTCCAAAGTGGATATATTTTCAATTTAGAAAAAGAATGTGTGGATAATGAATATACCGTCTTTAATGACTTCACTGTCTTTCTTCCGCCAGAATTTGACAGGCCTCACACAAAACATAAAAGTCCTATTTAACAATATCTACTGAACTCTTACATAACATGAGTGATTATCCTGACCCAAAAATTATGTGCAGGAGGGCTACCTGCAAAAAGAGAAAAAAATGGGCAATAGATACATAGATGTTGAAAATTATTCAAATGCTTACAAAGTTAGGTTAGAGGGCCAACGTGCACATATTTTTTTAAAAACATTAAAGGGAGAAAATATTTAGCTAATAGTTGGGGTTGTAAGATGTCAGAGAATCCTCACACAGACACTAAAAAAGCATTTATTTACCATACTACAGCGGCTACCTAAATTTTTTCAACTGCCTGATTCTGCTGCTATTGTAAGTGCATATGGAACTACGTTTGGAAATTCCACAAATTATATAAACAAAGACCTCCTTTAGATATAGATCATACCAGTACACCATAGTCATTTAAAACTGTAACTAAATAACTTTTCTCTTTTGTATGAATGATTACATTAAATGAAAGCTTTTACTTTTCAATGTAAAATGTTTACATACACAATGAGGCATAAATATATATTTAAAATAAAACACTAAAGTGTATGTTTAGTGTTTTATCACTAAAAGTTTGTTATGGGAAAGTTCTGGACATGTGAATAATAAAGGATTAAAATCATTCCCATGTCTTCCTGGTGCATTTTGGGAAAATCAAATATTTTGTGAAGAAACTTATGAACATGTCTGCACATTTATCTTTATCTAATATAAACCAAAAGCAGATAATGAACTGCGCTGGAAGTCCATAGGCAAGGATATTTTGGCTCTAACACCCTCCTTAGTGTTTCCCAGCCCTTACCCCATTATCTACTCTAAATAATGTTTTGTAATTCACTGTCTCCGCCCACCCTCCTAGTCATTTACTCTATGCCACTCCTAGTTACTATCACACTAGGAAGAAGTCTAACATGCAAATTCAGAGTGGCTGATAAATGGGGAAAAATGCCTAGAAGATTGGTCTGTTCAGCTTTATAATTTTTGTTGAAAAATACCCCATCGCTCCCAACTGATGAAAACAGGAAGCTCTATTCATAAATATGAAATTCTCTGCCTATGATATATAATCATCCTAATAAGAAAATGAGTTCTATACATACATGTCCAAAGGGGTAAAAAAGGAGATAGTTTCCCAAAGATGTTTCCAATTTTCTTCTGAATCAGAATTAGCAAATCGAGACGACTAACATACTCTGTCTGTGTGCATTATTTCTTGCTACACACAGCATTTTGCAATTTATTTCAAAGCTTTCATTATAAACAAAAAATACAGCTTCTGTTAACCCACTCTATTCTGAGTTTATAAAACCTAATATTGAACAATCTAAATTACGACAGAAGAATTTTACTTTATACATGTATAAGATTTGCTAGCAAAGCCTCTGTTGTTAAAGTTAAAATCCAAATAAACCAAAGAATTATGCAAAATGAATACAATTCCTTGAAAAATAAAAATCATTACAAGCATAAAGAAAACTAAAATTCAGCCAATAATCTGTTACAATTCTTATCATTGATTTTTATAAATCCTTAAACTAGTCATAAAAGAAAGGTATAAATAATATAAACGATACTAATTACATTTAATCCATACTGTAGGAGCCGGCATCTAATATTGATCATACATAAACTAGACAGACATGATTTAACATTTGTAAAAGGAATCTCCAGACTAACACTTTCATGACAGCCAATTACAGTCAAGCCCAGCAAGCAGTTTGCAACCAGACCTTAAGAAAGGTAAACTTTTTTACAATGAGTTACAGATTCACAAGTTTAAGAAGACAGGAAAAAGAAAAACAGAAGGACTCCAATCACCCAGCAAATATGAAGCAGACCCCAGAATGTGATACAATCCAAAGATGTAAATTATTGTAAATCATCACTGTTGTTCAGAATTTCACACAGCCTCTTGAGCCAATTTTGCTCACTTTTCCACAGACACAATAATGAACTAAATAAAAGGAGGAGGCAAAAAAAAAAAAGTGGGGGTGGGGGGAATAGAAAGGAAAGCCCTTAACTGCAGAGTTCTGCTCTACAAATGCTTAACCTTACAGGAGTTTGAGCTCCTTCAGCATTTGTATTCTATCCAAATCCTCATGAGTCACAAAAATTAAATAGCTATATCCTTCTGGATGCCAGGAAGGGCCTTACCACAAGCCTTTTGTCAGAGAGAGAGAGAGAAAGAGAGAGCAAGAGCAAGGGGGGAAAAAGCCACAGTGGTAGGCAGTCCCACTTCACTTGGAGCACTGTGAGGTCACAAACCACATGATTCTGTCTCTCCAGTAATAGTGCTTGCAAAAAAAAGGAGTTTTAAAGCTTTTGCTTTTTTGGATTGTGTGAATGCTTCATTCGCCTCACAAACAACCACAGAACCACAAGTGCGGTGCAAACTTTCTCCAGGAGGACAGCAAGAAGTCTCTGGTTTTTAAATGGTTAATCTCCGCAGGTCACTACCAGCCACCGAGACCAACAGAGTCAGTGAGTGCTCTCTAACCACAGTCTATGCAGTAATAGTAGGTCCTTCAAATATTTGCTCATTCTCTTTTTGTTTTGTTTCCTTGCTTTTCACATGTTACCAGCTACATAATTTCTTGACAGAAAAAAATATAAATATAAAGTCTATGTACTCCAGGCATACTGCAAAACTAAAACAAGGTTTGGGTATGGTTTGTATTTTCAGTTTAAGGCTGCAAGCAGAATTTACAACAGAGGGTACAAGTTCTATCTGAAAAAAAAAGGAGGGACTATGGCATCAAACAGCCTCTTCAGCACAGTGACACCATGTCAGCAAAACTTCTTTTGGGGTAAGTGTTACCATATTTTAAAATCCTATAAGAGATGAACCTGTTAAACATAAAGGTATGTTTCTTGGATAAAGTAACTGCGAGCTTTCCGGATGACATTATATTAATGAAAATAATAATAATGCTATTTTGTTGCACTAAAACTTGAAAAATGAAATTGCTGTACATATTTGCATTTGGCATCTGTAACTTATCTACTTCTCAGAGTAATGACCTGAAATAGAAAAAAATTAAATTATCTCATGAGTCAAAATGTTTTTCAGAAGTATAGAAATGAGGTAGTTAAAACAATAAAAAGGTTTAATATTCTCATTATCCCTTACTGAAATAAAATTAGATACTAAATTAATCAAAGTATTATGAAGTATTCACTCCGGCAGCTCCCAATATTTGAGCAAACTTCAAAAAGGAAGTAATTTTACAAAATAACAGACCGCAGAATTATCTCAACATTATGCTCTCCCATGTAAAACAGAGAAATAAACCTGCAGTGCAGCTAACATTTTAACAGTCCGACTACAAGAAATCTATTTATAATTTGAAACTGCATCATATCATAAGCTATCTGTATAACTTTGTTTCTAAGCAACTTTTTATAATTGAAGCATATGTTCATCTGAAATAAAATTATATTAAGTATGTAATAGCCATTTTTAATAGATCTTTATAGTTAAGCAGGATATCCAGGATATTTAAAAGTTTACAGAAATCTTTAAAAATTCCATGTAATTGTGCTTTTCCATATAATTTTAACTTCACATCTACACACTATTACCCATGTGTAGAACCTGTTATAAAAACAGAGCAAACACTGAGACGACTAGGATTCTTTTAATCATATTCTTGGACCTACCAAAATGAATACCGTTTAGTTTCATGAAAAATAAAACTCCGTAAGGATACCCTGCATGATTTAAAAGAGCTATACCTACTAAATCATGCTGGACTTTTCAAGAAAAACAGCCATAATATAGTCCCTTAATATTTAATTTCAAATTAATGTTGATAAACAAAAATAAACTACTTCAACATTCATCTGCTGACATGGTATTATAGCAAAATATCTAAACACTTACAAGATTTTCTTTATGATGTCCAACATGTTCCAACTACAAGGCAAGTTTATAAAGTTTTCTTTTATCCTTTAAAATAAATCTTTTGCTGTGTATACCTATATTAACTTTGCTTTATAACTTACAACTAACGATTGGAGTTTCCTTTACTCCTCCTACTTCACACATTTTAACTGGCTATCAGAGGAGCAGTCTTAGTTTAGGTCAAAGAGAAATAAACCTGCAGGGGAGAAAAAGGTTTCTCTTAAAAGGGTGAGGAAATGTACTTTGTATTTTACCAACAAAATGTAAAACTGCTGTAGTGATTCCTTCAATAGTTGTAGTGGGTGCCCTCAGTTATAACACATACAATATAATAATCACAGATTTTTTTTTAATTTAATGGTAGTCAACAAGAGTTACTCTAAATTTTTCTGCATTAAGGAAGCAGAACATAGAATTAGACTGCATTATAGATCATATCATAATTATAGCTTATAAGTGAGAACTTTTGCTGTTTCTATCCAAAAGATGAGAAAAAAATGGCTAAAACTATTGTTATATGGAGGGATAACTTAAAACAGGCATCGCAAGCAGTTAAGTTACTCTTTCACAATATTACTCTGTTTAAAAATAAAATATATTTTTCTAACCAGATTGGGGACAACACAAGTTTCAAGGATTATTTCAACATTACAGCTCAAGTTATTGATATTATCACAAAGAATGTGTTAAAATGCTCTTTATTCCTATCATATGAGTGGTCTTATATTTCTGTGACACCCTTAATAACTATTTCTATAGTAAAATTTCTAAAACTTCACCATCTTCTAACACAACAAGGCACCATAGTGAACTAAATAAAGATCTTCTTCTATCAAATATCATATATTTTTAGACAACATAACAATTATTTTCTGAAAAGTGGAATTTATCCTCTCCCAACCCCAAATAGTATTTTAGAGCCTGGATAGAGATTTAAGATGAACCCACTACACTGAACTAATTACAGGTGAGTGGGTAGTGGACCTTATGTATAGGTTATCATCACACTGCAAACATTTCACCAATCTATAATCTATTTGAAGTCGAAAATCTCAGTTAGGGCTTTAACTTCTTATATGATGATTATCAAAACAACCTCCTGAAATGAAAGTATGTGTTCTCATTTGATCAATTTGTTTTTAAAAGTTTAGGCTTTTCCTAGGTGAGGGACAAAGCACACACCGGCCCATTGCCTCAGCCACATATAATGAGTGAAAAGGGTGTGTGTGAGAGACAGACAGAGACAGAGAATGCATTTCAGTGTCCTTGCTCTCCTAGCATATCATTTATCTTGAATTAACAAAGAATTTTCAATCTGCACTACTCAAAATAAGCCCATTATTTATCATAAAGTCTGTTGAAAGTGATAGATGTGACTCACAGAGTATATTACAATTAAGAATTTATGAAAATATATCAGTTGACTAAATAAAATTTCTACATAAAACCTTTTTAACTGACCATAGTGACTGACTGCAAATGATGTGTGAACACTGATTTCCAAAATAATAGTTGTGGTCCATACCAGTAATGATAATTTTAGTTTCAAGGTTTAATAGTGACAAAGTATCACAACTTACTTCCAAAATAATTCCAAAATCCAGAGAGAGAATTTTAAAAGTCAAGAACAAACACAGAAGACCACTCCAACACAAATTAAGCTAAAAATATCTATGCAATTCCCAAAGACTCGTATTATAAATTATTTTAAATTGTAAAACAATAATCCTAATTTTGCATGAAAAATTGTTAGATTTCACTTTTAAATTTTAGAACTCTATTAAAATGTTAAATATTTCAAAGAAATTGCATAAAAATATTTTGGTAGTCTATATGACCTCTTAGTCTCTAAATTACAAGGAAAGCATGAAATATATGTGATTACATTATTATTTTAGTTATTTTTTAAAAATAAAAAATTAATATATTCAATTACACCCTTCAAACTAATCACTGATAGTTTGACTTGTTTAAATCAGTCATGCTAAAGTTAAATTCAGTAAGATAGAAATGTTCCAGTTTGTTAAAACAACACTGAAATATTTGATGGTTAAATAAACTGCAGAGGGGGGAAAGCTAACTCATTGAAAGCACTAAGATTTTATCAAACACACAGAATTAATCCTTATTGAATAGAACCATTCACAAATCAAAACTCACTGTTCTTCAATACTTTCAACCAGCACTAATCAATTACAAACCTTTTCTAGTGCTTCAAAAATCATATGCTTTCAATTTTATCCACTGGTGGTCCTCAAGTACTGTATTGGGGCTGAGTTAAGACATTCTGTATCACAACTGTTTTTTTCAACAAGTATTCATCTAGAGAGCTTTTTCTTCCCTCTCAAGAGCTGCTCACATGAAAACTGTGGTAATATTTTTATACTGTACTTCTTTGTTGAAGCAAAAGGTTAGGGGTTACCCAAATACCTCAACTGTATATACAAAAAAAAAGGGAAAAGGTAAGTATTCATATAAAAAATCCAATTGGACTGAATCATTATTTATTTTTGCATTTCCTATGATTAATGATGCACCCATGCATACTTGAAAATTGATGGCAAAACAGGGTAGCATCTCAATACCGCTCCAAAGCATACAAATACCAACCTCCCATGCTGCTCTAACCTTTGTCCAAGGATACTAATATGTGACAACTCTGAGTCAATAGAGAGGTCATACCAAAGGCTCCTCAAAAAGCATTAGGAGTGCAAATGCTATTAGCTAAGAAAAGGTTCACTGGAACAGTCAGTCTACCTATATAGTGTCTCTTTAAAAATATTATATATACGTTCAAATAGACAAATACCTTCAATATGAAAAAATCCTTCCTTTGAATAATAAAACTGTAAATGTGACAAAGCAAAAGTATTTTTTCTAGTCACATACCATGTAAGGCCTTATTAAATGGGTGCTAACTTCACAATGTTACCTTAATGCACTATTTTTTTCTCCTAACAACTGAATTTCACTAAAGATAAAATTCTACAAAAAAAAAAAAAAAAAAAACCACCACATGTCATTAAACTTCCATAATAAGGATAACGATAAACACCAATACTTAATATTTTCCAAAGAGTAAATACTGTAAGATAATTGTCTAAAGTGTATGAAAAACCTTCATGAAATCTGCAGTGTTTAATATTTTAAAACAAATCTTGAGAAAAGTCTCACATAATGAAAATATACACCTGAATACAAACTATTGCTAGTATAAATATTATGAAATTCATTGGACGTGTATTTTGATTAATGTGCTATAATTCAAAACAATAATAAGGAAATTCTACACCTTATTCAAAGGGAACTTCCTTACAATTTCAACAACAGTTGACCACAAACTTTTGTCCATTCAAGAGCAAACACACATAAAACAGGCCTTATATCCCCACATAACTTTTTAAAGACCTGTATAGCAACTGAGATTAGGTGCTCTTTAATTACAGTGAATATAATATACTCATCTAATGTTGAATTCTTAAAAACTTCCTCCCCCGTATACTATTTATTAAGGAGATAGGGTTCAAGGTTTGGAAAAGGGTTAGATGGATATAAGCAATACCATATTAACCATTTCACGTGTTTATAGTGTTATTGAATAGGATGTTAACTCTGAAATATATTTCTTCATAAATATGCTTTCTTCTACTAATAAATAAAAAGCTTATCATTTTCCTGATGTATAAAACAATTCCCAAATAAGATGAGCTGCAGAATTAAGAGTTCTTTAAAAGCTAGTTGCTACATAAGCATTTAATACTTGCAATGAAAAAAAAATTCATTATTCATCCTATTCCCTATATTCCTATTAATACTCATAAACATAATATCTAATATACAGTCTAGTAGCAAAAATCAAACCAAGTGCGATTTTGGCTATAATAAAAAGAACATAAATGTTAT